GTGCGGGGCTGCTTATCGCCGGGCGTGGGCTGCGGGACGCGGCTTGGTTGTGGGAGGAGGGGGCCTTGGCGGTGGCTGCTGAGAGGGGCCAGAGCGGTGCCGAGGCCGAAGCCCGCGCGGGGTGGCGTGAGGAGGCATCCGATGCGATTGCTGCACCGCTGGGCTGCACGCGCGCCCGGCAGTCGTGGAAGGACACCAGGGCAGGCAGGCGGGCGCACCTCGATGTTGAAGGGGCTCAGCCGCAGCTGCCACGTGAATACGCGCAGGATGTTGTAGGCGCCCACGATGTCGCCGAAAGCGCCCGCGGGCACGACGACCGGCGGCCCCCGGCGCCGCGCGATCGTCACTGTCCGCGGCGCCGGCGGCAGCGGCCCGGATGGCCAGGCGTCCTCGCCTGCGTCGTCAACCAGAGGGGCCGCGGCCGCGGCCGCGGCGGCGGCCGCGCGCGGCGCGGGCGTGCTGCGCTTGCTGGCGGGGGCGCTGCCGCCGGCCGCGGATGTGCGCTGCGGCCGCGCCGCGCCCGGCGGCGGCTTGGCGGCCTTGGGCGCCGGCTTGTCGGGCGGCCTGGGCCTGCCCCTGTCTGCCTTGGCGCTCGCGGGCTTGAGCGGCGGCCTGGGATTCACCCTGTCTTTCTTCGGCGCCTGCTTCTGATTCGCCAGCGGCCGCTTGGGCTTGGGGGCCGCAGCGCGGCCGCCGCCGGAGGAGCGGCGGGGCGCCCTCTTGGCGCCAAAGTCCTCGTCGTCCTCGTCGTCACTGCTGCTGCTGCTGCTGGCGCTGCTGACCTCTTCGCTCGACTCCGGGCTATCCTCGCTGCTGACGCTGCTGCCGCTGTCGCTGCTACCGCCGCCGTCGCCGCTGCCATCGCTGCCGCCGGCGGCATCGTCGCCGCTGGCGCTGCCGGCGCCGCCGTCGGGCTGATCCTCGGCCTTGCTGCCGCCGCGGCTCGCCCCATCTTCGCTCATGGGGTCGTCATCCGCGACGGACGCCCGCCCGCGCTGCTGCGGCACGCGCGAGCCGCCCGCGGTGGGCGTGCGGTCGCGCGCGCCGGCCTGCCGCCGGCCCGGGGTGGGGCCGGGGCCCTCGGCGGTACCGTGGGTGCCACGGTTGGGTGACGCCTCCCTTGTCGGCGCCGGGCTCGGCTCTGCGTCGCCTGCGCCTCTGCTACCGCGTCCCGACTGCTGCCTCCTTCTGCTGCTCATACAAGCGTCTGGGGCGATCGGCGGGCAGACCCGCGGAAGACGCGATGGCGCCAAATGCTACACAACGTCGCAGGAGTGCATGCTAGATCGCGTAGGCAGGAAAACTCGCTCTACAGGGCAATCACAGGGGTGTAAAGTATAGTTGGATATCTAATAAGCATCAACTGACCACCAAGACCGCGCGGCGGCCCTAGGGGTCGCGCCAAGTGGTGGATCACAACTTCGATCACAACTCACCCGCGGGCTGCGCGACTCCTACTGCGTCTTGAATTATCGGGCAATCAGCAACCGCTTTACGCAATGGTGGCTCTGCGTAACACCAAGTCGATGATGATCTGGTCGAGCTGGTGCTGAGAATCCATTTCGCCAGGGACGCTGGCTGCCTCACAATTTCGGCTCTTCCCAAGTCAATTCCTCAATGCGCCAAGCCGGGGTGGATTTGGAACGGAGTTCTACCGGGTACGCGCAAGGCATGTCTTGGGTTCGACTGTTTTTGACCGAAAGGCAATCTCCGTTCCCCACCCGGCCCCCCACATACACCCCATCGACTGCCAGCGCCATGCATTGCCATGCCACGGTCAACCGACGTCGGGTGGCACCTGAGCGGCGTATCGCCCCTCACAACCTCCGCAACCTGATGCGCTGTGCTGCCGTTGTTGACTGGCCGGTCCGAGCACGTCCTCCTGGCGCCGTCACATGCGCCCGGGCTGCAGGCCCTGGACTCTGCAAACACGACATGTTGTCGCCGTGAGACTTTGATCAGGGACAAGATTCACACCTTTCACTCCTGTGCATCGCTCATGCTGCTGAATTCCCTGCGCAGCGCCTGTATTGGTCCTGGGGTTACATGTATGTGTGGTGCTGCGGCGACCCTGAAATATAATGAGCAAGAACCAGCCGTCGCTGAAAATGCGAGCCTGCAGCATCTTGTGCGCAATTGCAGGAGGTCGGCGCCCTGGGTAGCAGCAAAAGGGCCCGCCTGCTGGAGGGAACGGCCTAGCAGAGCAAGAGCACTGGCACGCAAAGGAAGACAACTCGAAGGCGCCATCGAGGAACATACAAAACTGGAGACGGGCAGCCATTACCAATGCGACGTGGCCCCCGCCCGTGGCTGCGTCGCAAGCCGTCAGCTCGCGCTCAGCTGTAAGCCGCGGATGTGCCGTACAGCCCTCGCTGGTCCTTCATGCCCCCGGCCCCAGCCCCGCCGCCCGACGCGGAGAGTATGCCGCCGCCGCTCGCACTACCCCCGCCGAGCGCGCCCGGCGCGGCCGGCTCCGCGCCGCGCCCCCAGACATCCGCCATCGCCATCGCGTCGCGGCTCTGCCGCAGCGCCATCGCAGCCGCCGCCGCGCGCGTCGAGCCCGCGGCGCCGATGCCGGCCGCGCCCAGGTGGCCGCCGGCCGCCGCGGCCGCGTCGCCCGCAGCCCCGTTGCCTTGGTTCTCGCGCAGCGTGTCGTCCAGCACCTGCGGCAGCAAGGTCCGTCACCGCGACCATGTCATCCAGCACGGCGCCGCGGCCAGTCACCGCGCCGCTGTGACCTGTTTTTCGGGGACTGCGGCACCGCGTGCGCACGCTCTTGCCCGCGTGCGCACCCCAGCAGCGCTGCCCCTCCTTC